GGGGGGGGCAACATTTTTGTTTGTCACAACTAAGGGGATGCTATTGGCATCTAGTGGGTAGAGGCCGGGATGCTACTAAATATTCCACAATATATAGAGCAGCCCCTCCCCCACAACGAAGAATTAACTGGCCCAAATCTCAATAGTGCTAAGGCTGGGAAACCCTGTTCGAGACCTACTACCACATGCTAAGGGGTAATAAAACAGAGGTCCAGAGAAGCCAAGTGACACCCTATTAAGCCAAGTAGTCCTATGTTAACTGGTATCACGTGCAAAGTATTCTATTCTGCATTACTATTGTCTTCACTGGTTCCTCAACAACTTAATGGCAAGCGTGACCAAATAAAGCAGCTTGTATACGCCAGCACGCTTAGTCACTAAAAATGACAGGCTTCAAAGCCATGCAGTGTGGTTATTATTACTATTGCTACTTAGATGTTACAAGGAATTGCTTCTTAGCAGCGTGCACTGTATTCATTTAGGACAGCCACAGACTCCAAACACCTCTCCTCTGTGGGCAGGCCCACTCAGAAGAAAGAAATGTGAAGATACTATCAACAGGTGTTCAAAACACACTGGCGACAGGAAGGCGACCAGAGGCACAGTCCTGTGTCACCCCTGCATGTGCTTGATTTTCTCACGAGATCATGCTGTCTGATACAAATAAGTGACACCATATGAAAAGCCTTAAGAAAATCAAAAAGGAAGACAAATTTAAATAGCAATAAAGAGAAGTGGGCATTCCTGAAAAAGTCACGAGAGGAAAAGGCCATACTGGCACAAAAAAGGCAAAGATGCCAACACAGTTAATCCACTTTATACTGTGCTGATTTAAAAAAAAAAAACACCACTTTTAATAATCACAATTTCTTGTTTGATCATCTCTCACTCTCCAGAAAACGGACTGCATTATAATTATGGTGCAAGTGGTTAACCCTGAGTAACATTAAGCAACCTCTCCTTAGCCTGAAGTGAACCCATCACGGGGCCGTAAAATGCACCAGGGCTGCAGCATGCTGCACTTACCCTTGTGCAAAGGGACTGCACATCACCTTCCCAATAAGTGAACCCACTTCTGACAAGTCAGCCTTCCAAACAAAAGGCTCGTGTTCACTCAGAGTCAATGTGAGTATCAATTCCAAGCGAGGAACCAGGCCTCACTAATAAATGCCTTATAACTAACTGCATGGTTCAAGCTGCAAGCTTGAGAGTCACACGTGCTGTCTTACTATAAAAATTCAAGGCATTAAAGAACTAGAGAGAGGGCACAGGTCTCTGAAATTAGCCAGTAACAGCTTTTTTAAAGAATAGGAAACTATGACAGGTGTAATGCCATGCCCCACAATCGCTGAGGTTCAAGAAAGACAGCCATGGGGAGATAACCAAATAGGAAACCAGACCAAGCTTGCTACCCAACCTTATTAAATTAATCACTTAAGGATCAATGTTTATTTAATGTCGTATACAATAATGAAACAGGTTGTGGTTTAATGTGAGTAAAAACCTTTGCCATAAGGCCATCACAGCTGGGTATGTACAGCTCTCAAATCACTCTCTCACAAACTCACACTCTGTCGCTTAATGTCACCCCAAGACCTGAAGAACACTGCTAACCAGGTTTTTCTCTGTTGATTACAATTAAAGGAGACGGGTACCAGAACCTGTGGATTTAGGTAATTCAGATGTTTGTTTACATCAAGTTCTTACTAGTTTCAGCATCATTATGGGTAACATCCCTGAGCAGAGATTGATGCTAGACAGTCATCCTTCAAAGAGGAGGAGTGGCTTTGCATCATCTAGAAGGGATGGGAGTAGAGACAAAACTAGCTTTTCTAGTGCACGCTCAGCGCTAGACACTGTGCTGGGAGATAGCAGAACCTTTCCTTTATATAATCCTCAAAATCAAAGCTGCAAACATTTGTTTAAAATATTTGAATGCTGCAAACTAGAAATTGAGGGTGGGAGAAAGAGAAATGGACTTTTTTATTTTCTACCCTCTGAGGTACAGTATTTTAATTTTCAACCATATGTGTTTTACTTTAATCATGCCTATAACCAGGTATGATTCATATTATCACCAATTTTATACATGAGGAAACCAACACTCAACAATATTAGGTAAATTCCTACAAGGGCACACAGTTAAAAAATGATGGCACTAGCACTTGCCTTTGAAAATAATACAACTTTTGACAAAGAAGTTTGAAGGGAGAGGAGAGAGAAATTCAAGGGGTTTATTCTTAGGATTTCTGTTTACTCAAAAATGCAGAATCCTGGGTTGTCCCATCAGAAAAACAAGATTAGGGTAAGATAAAAACACTTGAAAAAAAAATTTAATGGAAAACCATCATGGGCATAGGAAAGGAAGCTGACTAGAGCCAAGGAAATGGATTGCTCAGCAAAGATGAGGGCCTGCTAAGATCGGGACTCATACATTTGTAATGGAGCCAATCAGAACAATTATATAATTTTTGTAGTGGCGCTGGGAGTCGGGATTCGGTTGATTCAGGATTGGCAGGAGAGATGCGGTGTTAAGCAAGGGCTTAAAAAGGCTTGAGGTGACTTGCAGCGTAAAAGCAAGTAAGACATTGAGCCAGTCTGCTTTCCATTCCTTCTGCGGATGCAATAAAAGATTAAAAGGAATAAACTAGCAAAGAGAAATGGGAAGAGTGACAGCAAACTTCATGGAAAGAGCACGTGGACAGGCGTGAAATAAGCAGACGCCTCCTTGGAGAGGAGCCAGCCTGCCCCTTGAACCTCCATGAGGCTCCACGCTCAAAGTCAGCTGGTGGGAGAGAGGGCAAAGGGAGCGTGTACCTGAAAACAATGGGGCTCGTTGGAGATCTGAGGGAGAAAAAGACTATCACTGGTACTTCCGTTTTCCTCTATTCACCCACCTCCATCCCTAGTTGAGAACCCCGAAATTCACCAGAAAGCCCTTCTCTAAAGAACTTGAAAGAAATTTTAAAACTAAGCTTCTATTCTCGATGTGAACAACTCAGAATAAAATTTTTTCAGTCTTGTATCAGAGGGAGCCAGGGACCATAACCATCACAATCATGATGACATAAAATGGCTCTTCCAAGATACTTACCCTGTTGTGTAAGGGATGTTTATGCCTCCGAGGTTAATGCTTTCACATCCCACAATGAACAGAGTTGAAAAGCACAGTAAAGACACTCCACTGCAGATCATTGCTAGTTTTGCAGATTCTCTTGCACCAAGTTTCAATTTTTTTATAATGTAGCCTCCCAGGACAATGCCAACCCCAGCGCTAGGGACAATAATAACACCTGGAGAGAAGGGAAGGACAAGGTTAATTTGAAGTAATTAATGCTATTGTTTTCTTTTATCACCATTTACCCCCCCCAATACCCTTCTCCACCTTCACCCCCACTAACCCTTACGATCTATTTGTTTTCTAAATACTGTTTCTATTTACTTATTAGTACTAAGGTAAAGAATAAACATACTGTAATCAAAATTGGCAGTTATAATAACAGTCAACGGGGATACAGCATAGAGAATATAGTCAATAATATTATAATAACTATATCAGGTGGGTACTAGATTTTTGGGGTGATCACTTCATAAGTTATATAAAGGTCTAATCACTATGTTGTACACCTGACAAGAATATAATATTGTATGTCAACTGTTATTATTTTAAAAGAAAAATTACTTTTAAAATACTGTAATTAATAAATCTAAGTGTGTGATTTTATAGTATAATTTATTTTCAATACATGCAAACCAACAAAAGATTCCTTTTCAGAATATTAAAAAACTTTTATAAAGCAATAAAATAAAAACATGCAATCCATAAGAAAAGTAAGAAAATTTCTTCACTAAAGAGGAAATCCGGGTTCTCAATAAACACATGCAGATACTCAGCCTCATTAGTAAGAGGGAAATACAAGTTTAAATTGCCTGAGGTATTCCTCCCCCCGATCACACCGGTAACAATTTCAGAGGCTGACTCCCACAAGCTGGCAAAGACACGGAGCAATGGGCACTCTCTGGTGGGATGCAAACTCTGACACCAACTTAGAGAAACAGCTTGGCCTTCATCTGGTCGAGTTGAGGATATGCATACCCTTTGACAAGCAATTCCATTCCTAGATCTATACCCTGAGCAAACCGACACACACGGGGACCGAAAGAAGTGTACACGAGATCTGAAGAAACGTACTAGCCAAAAACTGGAAATAAACCAAGTGTCCATTGACAGATACACAACATGTAGTAAATGCATACAATGGAATGCCACACCACAGCAGTAAAAGTCAGAAACCTACCTGCGCGTAACTATGTGGGTGAATGGTGCAAACACCATGTTGAATGAAAGAAGCAAAAACACAACAGAATGTATGTGTGATTGCAAATTTGTATAAAGGGCAGGAATAGGTACAATGAAATGATACTGTTTAGAAATGCATGTATTGGTAGAACAACTATGAAGAAAACCCAAGAAGTAATTACCATAAAAGCCAAGATAGTGGGGGGATGGGCAGGATCCAGAGAGGGCACAGGGGGCTCCTGGGGCACTGAAAATACTCCATTCCCTGACTTGAGTAATAGGTACACACGTGATCAATTCATAATTATTTATTATCTCTAAACTCTGTTTAATGCACTTCTCAATGCATTATATTTCGCAGTAAAAATATTTTTAAATAGTCACAGTGCCTGCACCAAGAACCTTACAATCTAAAAGAGGACCAAACAAAAAAATTCAGAACACATTAAAGGAATTATGTAAAGGGCAGGGAGAACACAGGAAAGGAAGCATCCGAGTTTCCCCTGGGAGAAATCAGGGAGGGCTTGACAGAAGTGGCGGTATTTGAGCTGACATTTGGCTGATGAGATAGAATCTTTGAAATTTGAAAGATGAGACAAAATCTGTCCAATACACCAGCACAGAGAGACCATCCTACACAAATGAACATGTGCAGAGGCATGAGATAGAATTGAGGATTGAGCGCAGCCCACACAAGCTGGGAGTGTAGAATGAATGCAAGCTGCTGGGAAGTGGTGGGCCACGGGGAGGAGAGGTCAGGCAGAGCGAGAGCATGAAAGATCATGAATGGGAGGTCAGGTTGCATCTCTGGGCAATGAGACACCCCGAAGAATCTTGAGCTGGGGTCTGGCAGGATGGAGGTGTGTGTTACAAAGATAATTTCTGGCCCTAAGATGGAAGACGGCTTAGATGGAGTCAAAACTGGAGACAGAGGAGTGGTCAGGAGGGTACTGGAGAGCCATGGTCAGGCTCTACACAGATGGCACGATAAACTAGTGAGGGAGGACAGGGACAGAGAAAGCACTGCACAGCCTGTGCAACGAGCAGCTAGAAATGCCTCCCACCGTTGCACGTGGGTCTTAGCTCAGAAGACCTGGGCTGGGACACTTAAGATGTGTGGCGGATCTCATGGCACAGGCAGGATGTCCCAACAAGACTAAACAAAACTGAAGGGCCAAAGCCAGAGTCCCGGAGAGCACCAGTATTAATGGGGATCATAAACAGATGAGCAGCCATGGTGGGGGAGAGGAAATCCAGGAAAGATAAGTGTCCTAAAGGGGGGAAGGTTGGGCTTTGAATTCAGAAAGACTGGAATTCAAATCCTCACTCCACCTTTCGTAGCCATGTGATCACATATAAGCATAGACTTGTTCACCTTATCATGGAGATCTCCTTTTCACATTAAAATGAAGACTGCTGGCACTCTGTGAGGCCACAGCGCACTGTACCTTGCACACAATATAAACTGTAGTTATTACCATTACAGCTGTGCCATAGAAACCACGGAAAGGGAGTTTCATGAGAAAATGAAGAGTGCCAAAGGCCTCGGAGGAGTCTGGGAGGATAGAGACTGAAAGGAGACAACTACGCCACTGGAGATCTTGACAAGAAGAACTTCCAGGGCATCCTGAAGGCAGAAGCCAGACTGCAAGGGGTTGAGCAGTCAGCCATGAGGATTTGGAGACTGGCATCGACACTGCCTTCCAGAACTTTGGCTGAAAGAAAAAAAGAGGGCTATGGGCCCATAGGTAGAGTCGGGACCGTCAGAGTCGTGTCCGATGCTAAGACCTGGAGAGGGCTAAAGCATATTTAACGTAGAGTACTGACAAAAATAGAGCAAAAAGGGGTGGGAAGGAGAATGTGGAGCAAAAAGGTTACTTCGAAACAATGCAAGATCCACCCCCTTTTTAATGAAGAACTTGAATGTTTTGTTATTAAACTTTCTTGTTTTCCTGCAAGGCCCCTACTTCACTGTATAAAAAGAGCACCAGCAAACTCAGTGTATTGCAAAATTAAGATAATATTGTTCATCATCTAGCAACTATAACAACTAACAACACTCTTCTCCACAGACAGTTAGTTCCAGTGGAAAGATCATGAAGTATTTTGACCCAAATCCAGAGACTGATGTAAGCAAGTTACAATCTATACTAATAAAAGGGTAATATGCTAATTAGACCGGACATTTTGCAGACATCCATCCGGACGTTGTTCCTCACAAAGCCACGGTGGCAGGGGCCAAGGCACAGGCAGTTAGGGGTGACCAGGCCAGCAGGGGAGGGCAGTTAGGGGCGATAAGATCGGCAGGCAGGTGCGCAGTTAGGAGCCAGCGGTCCCAGATTGTGAGAGGGACCTCCAACTGCCGGTTTAGGCCCATCCCTGTGGGATCAGGCCTAAACCAGCAGTCAAACATCCCCCGAGGGGTCCCGGATTGGAGAGGGTGCAGACCAGGCTGAGGGACAACTCTCCCACCCCACCTCCAGCACGAATTTCGTGCACCAGGCCTCTAGTATTATATAAGGCTTAAGGTATATACTATCTTAATATGTTGAAGATAGTAATGTTATCCTTGAAATACATAATTTTTATAACTAGATTGTACCATGGATGATTTCAGAAATTCTGAAGTTTAGAACTGTAGTAGTCTTGCCTAAAAATCATAGGGTATTGTGGGAAAGATGCATATTGTGTTTATTTGCAATCATTAAAAAGCTAAGGGGTATTTTCTTCCAACAGCATAGTTGTAGTTTCTTTTCCCACTGGTATTACTAAAAGTTGCTATTTTAAATCTTCCATCCAGCACTAATTTAAGACAACTATGCCAGATCAAGCTGTTTCATGCACTTTACTTAGGGGGTTCCATGTTCACTCCTCAGTAGAGTTTATGTATTTCTCACAGGCTTCTTCTCTCATTGGCTCATCTACTCTGAAGGGTTACTCCATGTCGTCTTGATCAGCCAACCGTCTTCATCACACGATCTGTTGACAAGTCCTGGATTTTCTGCAAGAGCTGCACTAATTTCAGTTACTTCTCCTGACAGAGGAGAATAGAGTTCACCAGCAGCTTTCACACTTTCCAAAGCACCAAACTCGTCCGGTTTGTTCAATTTTGTCCCAATTTCAGGCAGACGACAGTAAACAACACCCCCCGAAGCTTCCTGTGCAAAATTGCTGATTCCCACTGTTCCAATACCACTTTCTGTGGTTGTCCATTCATGTTTCTCTGTGAACTGATCCCACGAGAGCAGTTTGGGGCCGGCGGGCAGCATCCGTGAGGCGCTGGCCTCAGGCTCCAGGGCGGAGCAGGCTGCAGACCCCACGGGCTGCATGCTCCCCAATGCTGGGAGCGCCCTGTTCGCAGGAGTGTGGGGTCCGCCACAACCCCTCGACCATCCCCCAAGATCTTTGAGAGGTGAGGAGAATGTGGGGATTACAAGCACAGGTGATCAGATTAGCCCTGGATGGAGAGAGATCCCTGCCTCTGCACTGGGAATAAGATGGAGGAGGGGGACGAGGGAGGAAAGAAGGTGAGAAGTCTCTAGGTGGACAGTAGTTTTGCGGTTTCATTATTTTCCCATTATTTTGGAGACAGTGTAATATATGTTGCGGCCAACCATTTGAAAAACATAGAAAAGGATGAAGGAACAAAAATCCACTGCTTAGGCATTTCCTTCTAGATTGTTTATTCTATGCCTTTTTCCTTTAAGAATTGATAACATGCTGTCGATTTGGTTTTGTATAGCTCTGGTGTGTGTGTGTGTGTGTGTGTGTGTGTGTGTGTGTGTGTGTGTGTGTGTTTTCTGTATAATTAAAAATAAAAGTAACTCCTAGAGGGACGGGATCCTGAGATAACCATCGCAGGAGTGAAGAGAGCATGAAATAGCAAAGTGCTGGAGGCTTGGCGCGTGGGGAGCACTGCGTGTCCAGATGACACCAGACTCCAGAAGCCTGCGGCTGCGCCAGTGCGCATGCGCGTGGGCAGGCTTGCCTCTG